GCCTTCACTGGGAGGGAACCAAAAATCCCAGTCTGGTCAAGCACGTACGAAGCGTCGCTTTAGACGCGTGCATGGAAGGTTCGCTATTCGATAAAAGTTTCGAAGCTGGTGACTCCTTCCTTCTCTTTTTATCACATTTATATGCTTTTTTTTGCTTACTAAAATAAATAATAAAAAAACAAAAAGAAAACTGAAAGGTTTAATTCCGGTACAGTAAGTTATGTGCTGCTTTATGGAACGTTTGTGTGCTAGTTTTTGCCACGTAGCACATGAATAGAGGTACTTTATTTGTTTATTTTGAGCTGATTGGGCTGCACATGGTTTGATCCAAAATGTGCATCTATACAAGACAGGAAGTCAGGCCCGCCCATAGCAGGTGAGGCAATATTCATTGTTTTAGGTTTTTTAAAAAAAAAAATCACAAAACGTCTTTGAGGTTCACGGATTGTAAACTTGAGGGGCGTTTTATGATAAAAAGTTATTATTTTATCTAAATAAAAAAAATCCTAAGAGAAGAAAAAAACAGTCACTAAGATATTTCTCCTGGTAATGCTGGCTGTGTTATATGGGATTTGTGTAAATATTTGTTTAAGTTAAAAAAATCTTGGACTAAACCAAAGGAACCACATTAGTATATAATTAAATGCTTTTGTTTATATGTTACAATCACGTACGTAGATGAGCAAAGGAGAACTGAATTAGGGATTTTGAATGCGACATCTAAATTAACAATTAAAATAATTTAATTGGAAGGCACATAATCAGAGAATGTCAAGAAGTGCTGATGTAGATAAGATGGAGCAAAAAGAACCCCAAAAAAAAAACCTCCAATATAAAGCGATAGTATTTTATTGATAGGAGGACAAATAAACCGGGCTATGCCCATCTGTTTTTATTCCTTCATAGGCTGTGTTGTTTTTATGTTGCGGTAAATGGTCCCGAAGGCCTTGTTTTGTGCCTTTGTTTGTTGGGTTTTCATATACTTCTTTTTATCTGGCAGGAAAAAGAGAAATCAGAAATGAAAGTTTAAATGGTGGAATTATTTATACATGCTGCCTGCATTCATAAGTCTGCAAGCAAGCAGCCAGCCAAGCCAACTGATACTGGTTGCCTTATTAGATTAGGATCTAAATCTAATTCTGATTGGAACATTTGTGTTTTACCCATCAAATCATCATGCTCGGGTAACCAGTTTCATAATTTTGTATAGGATTGGCACTCGGCTGCCTGCATGCATGATGCAACCAACAACGCATGTTACCTAACCCATGAGGAGATATCAAGATTATTTGATACATTAAAAAAAAAGAATAGTTTTTGGTAAAAGCAGTTGACATTTAACAAGATTATGATGCAGCCAAAAGAGAGGAAAAATTGTTTTTGCAAACTCTTCTTCTTACCTCAGCCAATTGCAGTTGACTTAAGCTCTACTGTCGTATTAATCTGATTCCCGGTACAAAAATCACAGACGTGTGTGCTTAACTCAATGGAAGGAGACTCTGGTTTTTGGGTTTTGGGTCCTCAATTTCCACCGACGGCTAAATTAGCTAGATTACACATTTTCCAACAAGTGCTTTCATAGCTCAGTTGGTTAGAGCACCCGTTTAGTAAGCGGGAGGTCTTGAGTTCAACTCTCAATGAAAGCAAATTGTTTCATATTTTCTATTTTTTTACTTTTGCTACGCCTTGTAGATTGTAACAATATATAATTATCGAACGAGAATGTTAACAACAGTGCTTTCATAGCTCAGTTGGTTAGAGCACCCGTTTAGTAAGCGGGAGGTCTTGAGTTCAACTCTCAATGAAAGCAAATTATTTCATACTTTCTATTTTTAACTTTTGCTAAGCCTCGTAGATTGTACCATTATATAATTATTGAACGAGAAATTTAACAAAAGTGCTTTCATAGCTCAGTTGGTTAGAGCACCCGTTTAGTAAGCGGGAGGTCTTGAGTTCAACTCTCAATGAAAGCAAATTGTTTCATATTTTTCATATTTTATTTTTTTAGTTTTGCTAAGCCTTGTAGATTGTACCATTATATAATTATTGAACGAGAAATTTAACAACAGTGCTTTCATAGCTCAGTTGGTTAGAGCACCCGTTTAGTAAGCGGGAGGTCTTGAGTTCAACTCTCAATGAAAGCAATTTATTTAAAGTTTTCTTTTTGTGGTTTTTTTGGATAACTTAGTTTTCCTTGCTGTGCATATAATCCACCAGGCAATATCGTTTTCCCCACGCACAAGAAGCGTTTTTTCCTGATCCGTCAAAAAAAAAAAACCCACAAACAGAGGGTTTTACATAAACCCCAGCCAGCCCCCTCTCTTCACCCCTCTCTCTCTGAAACCCTCCCAAAAGTCTCGCTACTCCATCTGCAAATATGTCGACCAAAGGCCCTGCTCTCTTCTCCAACATTGGCAAGAAAGCCACAGGTCTCTCTCTTTCTCTCTCTGTCTTTGTTCAGCGGATTTTGAATTTCTTTTTGAATTTTTATTTTATTTTTCTTACGGGTCTGTTATTTGTTTCTTCGATTTGCAGACTTGCTTAACAAGGACTATAGCACTGACCAGAAGATCAACATCACCACTAACACTGAGACTGGAGTTGTAAGCTCGTCCCCATTCACTCATCTGAACCCGTCTCTTGTTTTCCAAAATAACAATTTCAACTGTTCTTGTGATTTTTGGTTTTCCAATGACTGTTCAGTTTGCTCTCTGTTATGTTATGTTTTTCAATTTAAACAATCAGTTGTGTGTTGGTTGGGTTTTCTTTTCAATTGTTTCTTTATCTTTGTAATGGGCAAATCTTTCTTGAGTCACTACACAGTAGATTGGAGTGCAGCAATCGGATTTTCACAGTTGCATACTTTGCTTTTTCCCCCTCTCTCTTCTTCAAAGAATAAAAGTGCAGTATCTTGAAATATATATGTAAAATATTATGGGCTGTGGTTCTTGAAGTTATAAGTTTCAAGTCACGCAACTCGTAAATAGCTGCTTAGTGCTTCACTGCCTTGCTTATGAATTAAGCAGGGATGCGTTTCTTATGATGGCTGCTTCTTTCTATTATTGATTGCTTTATGTGCTTTTCTTCAAGGCTTAAACTTAAAGCAGTTGGATATGATAAATTTATCTCTTTTATTTCAGACCCTCAACTCTGGTTTGGTGAAGAAAGGAGGCCTCTCTTGTGGGGATGTAGCAGCACAATACAAATACAAGAACGCTGCACTTAATGTCAAAGCTGATACAGAATCAAATGTAGTCACTGGCCTTCCATTTCCCTTCCCAATTTCGAATTATGATAATGTCTAACGCTAGTCTCTTTGTCGAGCAGGTCTCAACAATGCTTACGATCACAGACATCCTGCCTTCTACAAAAACCATGGCTTCAATAAAACTCCCTGATTACAAATCTGGCAAGGTATTAACTTTTCTTAGCCTGTGAAGTGCGCATGAATTTACAATTATCACTGCAACTGATAGCCATTTATATATATTGCAGTTGGAAGTGCAGTATCTTCATGAACATGCATCTTTTACAACAGCCGTTGGTCTGAACGGTTCCCCTGCTGTTGACGTTTCGGCAACCCTTGGTACCCCTAGCATTGCTTTTGGAGCAGAAGCAAGTTACTTGACAAGTTCCAGAGTGTTTGCAAAGTATAATGCTGGTGTCAGCTTGACAAAACAAAATTCCTCTGCTTCAGTAATTCTGTAAGTTCGTCATTTGTAGACATTCTGAAATGATAGAGAATTTCTTCTTATTCATACGTACGACAGAAGGTTATGGTGAGGGTGCTTTTGTTGTGCAGTTAGTTATTGTTTTCTTTTCATTTTGAAGGGCTGACAAAGGAGACTCGCTAAGGGGTTCATACTTGCATCATCTAAGTAAGCTGAATGGAGGAGCTGTTGTGGGAGAGGTAAACAGAAGGTTCTCCACAAATGAGAACACATTGACAGTGGGATGTTCATATGTGGTTGACCCTGAAACTGTGGTGAAGGCAAGGCTCAACAACCATGGCAATCTTGGGGCTCTTTTACAGCACCAGCTCACCCCCAAATCTTCTTTAACAATCTCCGGTGCCTTTGACACCAAGGCGTTAGAGAAGAACCCGAAGTTTGGCTTGTCACTCTCCCTCAAGCCTTGAGCAGATATATTGAATCAACAACAGAGATATGCAATAGATTAATTACAAACAACCCTTATTGATTTTTTTCTGGTGTGGTTCAAATGAGAACATCTAATTACATTTGTTATAGGTCTTGTTATCCCTTTGAATCTTGGTTTTGACAGAAATGTGGGAAGCTTGAGCTTATATGTTTATCTTTGCAATAGGCACTTTGAATTTGCTAAGTGTTTTGACAATGAAACTTTTTCATCTCTACGCCGTTTCTCTCTTTCAACTTGCTTCTAAATTTCTATAGCATGCTTTGAGAAGTATGACATGCGTTTTCTTCACTCCCTGCAATTTTCTCAACGATCGACAAATATTTTTCTCTTAGAATCACCGATTGGTGTGGAGGAGTTTGACAAGTCGTTGTGCTTATAATATTCAAGACAGTTACTGTTGCAATTTTCAATCCTGATGACAGTTGTTTTGAAAGCAACAGAAAATATATTATAAACCAATAGGTGGCCTGCCACTCTAATTCTTTTTTGACTCGGATTTCAATTGCGTATTTTACAGTTTGCCTGAGAAGAATTGCCGTATTCAAAATCAATTTCACAATCAGTATCGAAATGAAGTGTTAGATAATTTCTTTCTTCTTTTTTCGTTGCCTGTCGATGTAGAATTTTGGACTATCTGATAGAAAATTCCTCAAATTCCTGTAGTATAAGGGTTTTCTTCATTAATGACTTCGGATGTTAACCCGTTAATTTAGTGTCGTCTTAATATAATAAGAATTGTTTTAAGTTCAATAGCAAACACAGGAAAGCCAACTCCTAGATTCACATGAAATAAATAAAGAAAAAAAAAGTTGTAAGTAGCAGTAAATAAGGATTTTAAGTGAACCCAAAAAACAAAATTCTAACCTCTGAACAGATCTCCATATATATATGTACAGAAACACAATACAACAGGATAATAAAGAAAACAACATGGGTATTAATTTATCAATTCAGGAAGACTATAAAATAATATAAGTCACACGCAGAAATTGAGACCTCAGCCCAGACGAACTGAATCAGACCGAAGCATATAACTCTGGCACAAAAGAAAACCACCTGAAGCCACAGCTCCATTTATCAGGCAGTGAAGGGCATTTGGGCAGCCAATGCCAAGTCCTCCTTGAAACCTTGAAATACAGAACCTCCGGCCATGTGTAGCAGCAAACACAGATGAAACCCCGATGCCAAAAGCAATAGAGATGCTCGTAGTTATGGAAACAAACAGACATCAATTTTCTGCACATCATTTCTGGCAAGCTCTCCACCTCAACCCAATTCATTCCTTCACCCAATTCCCAGAGTTTCATGCTCCTTGAAATCCCATTCCTGCCAACTCCACCAATCAAATACAGCTTTCCATCTCCTCCATCGCTGACTAGCCGAACAAACATGAGCTCTCTAGGCAACTCAGTGTTGGGTCTCTCCCACTTACCGCTTTCCAAATCAAAGCACGCTACAGAGAATGGCTCCGGGGTCACAAAATACAAAGACCCTTCATAGTAAACACCTTGTTGATGATAATTGTCACTGAGAATTGGATCGAAACCATTGAATTTTCGCCAAAATTGAACCTTTGAATCATAAACAAAAGTGCTTTTGGTACAAGACCCAAAAGAGACCATGAAAAGACTGTACCCAACAGGCGTGGAAACCAAAGAAAACAGCTCAAAAGTAAAAGGGTAAGCAGGGAATTCGATCACTCTTGAAGATTTGGTCAAAAGATTGAAGACAAGAAAGGAATTGGAGAGAGAGAAACAGAGCAACCCATTGGAGGTCGAGAGCAGAGAGGCTTGCCCTGCAGCGCAGGGCAGCAAGGCAGAGAGAGACAGAGCAAAGTTGCGCCAAGCACCAAGAGCAGAGTCATAGAAAGCGAAGTGGTTGTGACACTGAGGGTGAGAAAGCAAGAGGAAAGAAGAGAAGGATGAAGAAGAGGAGTGCTTGGAGATGAAAGTGGGAGAGAATAACAGAGACTTGAAGTGCTTACAAGTCGATCTCAGACTCATGAAGTTTTTGAGAGGTAGAAAAGAGAGAATACGCTCGAGGAGTTCCTGTGGTAGCTTGCTCCATAATCCGGCGTCCATCTCCGGTGGGCTCGTTGGAGACTTGGAGATGGTGATGGGTTGGGCATTTGGGTTTGCCTGAGATCGAAGGCTGTTTGCTCTGATGCGTTGTCCTTTCATCTGAAACAGGGCATTTGGGACTTCAGAGAGAGACTCCATATATTTGCCGCTACAGGCTGATGATAGATACGAAGTGATAAAAAGCATGGACTGTTGACCAAAAAAGAAAAGAAAAAAGAAGAAGCATTGACTTACTCTCTAATTAATTGTTTAATTATTTATAATCCACAGATAATCTAGTGTTAGCTTATTAATTATCCCCACGTCTCGCTTAAGATATTACATTGCCTTTTTTGTTTTGTATTATTTGGGGGTAGGCTGATCGTTTTGAGTTAGAAAAGAAAAGGGAAAAAGGCATGTTCACCAGGTAAAAAGGAAAAAAGGCATGTCTCCTAGTTTCGTTGGGAGACAAACCCCAATAATAATAATAAAAATAAAATTATAGAAATCCTTAACCCACAAGGAAAGAAGACCGCAATATAAACACATTCAGTGATCGATTCACCACCATGATTGTTGTTGGCCTTCGTGAGTAGTTCAATTCGACGTCTTCTTTTTTCTTCAACTGGTTCTTATTCTGTCGCCACAGAAGATGAAGATGAAGCGAAAGAGAGAGCCAGTAAGCTTTCTTACTGTGGAACCCGAGTGCTGCCATGAGGCCGTTCAGTTGTGGGGGAATGCTAATAATACAAGGCGTCAACAATCTAATTTGACTGAAAAGGCAAGAAAGCACCTCTCTGCCATGGGCTGGAAGTTTTGGTACACACTGCTTAAGCATGGCAAGACTGAGTTGCGTTACGAGTCTCCAACCGGAAAACTCTACAACTCGCTACGAACCGCTTGCAAAGCCTACATGCAATCCCAAGGTGGAGGAGGAGTGTTTTCTGAAAGCATTGGTTCGAATTCCGTGGGGTGCTCTTCTAGTAAGGTTACAGCGCAATCAACATCAATGGAAAGATTACAAAAGAGAAAAGTCGATGAATCATTTAAAATTGAAGATCAAAGTCCCATGCCAAAACGAGGTAAGATTCTTGCGGATTTGAAAAGACTAAGAGATCAGAAGAAAGCTAATAGTCAGCAGGATGATATATCCACTGTGTGTCAAAATGATGATCAGAGTGATGATATATGTACCGTGTGTCATTATGGGGGCGAGCTGATCCTGTGTGATAAGTGTCCATCTGCATTCCATATTAGTTGTCTTGGGTTGAAGGAACTGGCAGATGGCGATTGGTTATGCCCATCATGTTGTTGTGGGATGTGCGGGCATGGAAAATTTGAAGAAGGCAGCGGTGAAAAGCCCAAGGATGATATGGATAATAGTATGCTGATATGCAACCAATGTGAGCATAAATATCACATTGGGTGCCTGAAGAATGCAGGGGTTGTGAAATTGAAATGGGATTCCAAGGGAAATTGGTTTTGCAGCAGAAATTGTGAAGACATATTTTTTAGCCTCAACGAGATTTTGGGAAAACCGATTCTGGTGGGTCCTGACAATCTTACTTGGACACTGTTGAAGCCATCTTCCTCTCATTCTGATAGGGAGGACTTGACAGAAAATTACAGAAAACTCAATTTGGCTCTGAGTGTGATGCATGAGTGTTTTGAGCCTTCTAGGGACCCTTACACCAAAAGGGACATTGTTGAGGATATTATTTTCAACAGAGAGTCAGAGCTGAGCCGCTTGAATTTCAAAAGGTTTTACACAATTGTTTTGGAGAGAGATGAGGAATTGATTAGTGTGGCCACTGTAAGGATCTACATGGAGGTTGCAGAAGTACCTCTTGTTGCCACTAGGTTCCATTATCGTAGACTCGGAATGTGCGGTATTTTGATGAAGGAGCTTGAGAAACAGCTCATGAAGATGGGAGTTGGAAGGTTGACTTTGCCTTCTGCTCCAAGCGCACTCGATACATGGACCACTTCATTTGGGTTTTCAAAAATGAAGGTGGATGAGAGGTTGCAGTTTCTGAGTTATACTTTATTGGATTTCCAGGGTACTATTATGTGCCATAAACTCTTGAGACATAGCGATACTGACGGATCGACCAGTGCCAACTCTACAGTAACTCAGGCAGAAGACAAACAGCTGGAGAATGGAGCTTTAGACCATGATCGCAAGTTTTTGATTGATGATGTTGATAGCATGTTTTTGGACATTAACAACCCAGGTTTCTTATCATGGCACATGGGTTTAGGCTGATTCCAGAATCTTATAAGGGTAGGTACAATTTTTGACAGAGTTCTTAAAGTAATATCACATATCAACTTGTATTTTGTTCAGAATTGAGTTCCCATGAATCATCAGTTTTTTTGTCTTTTTAATTCATCAGTGTAACAATTTTTCCATCAATTTTGCTCTTGATTTTACATTAAATGAGTTCACATTTACATGCATATGCAGGCAGCAAAAACATAAAATGTAAGGATTATAATTGTGCCTATCAAGTAAAGCCTTTTGGATCTTAAAGCAAAACAGAAAACTCCAGGCTATGACAAAGATGCTTTACCTAGCAGAAATGAGGATCAGATTCTAGAAAATAACAACAGTGCATGCTAGTCACTCCAATTATCCTCGTCCTTGGCTCCTTCATCCTGCAATTCCATAAATGTATAAGATAGAAGCCACTTGCCAACTAAAAAGGTTAGTTACACAAAATCCATGAAATCATCAGGTGTACCACCTCATCGGAAACTGATCTGGATGGCGACCAGACTAGAATTTGTCTATCATTGCCACCTGTGTACAATTCCTACGATGAAAGACATGAATTAAAATTCATCCAGGATTGGAAATCATGACTTCGTCAATATGGCACACCAAGTGAGAGAATTCAGTCGTGTTCTGTAAACCCGGAGTGTGAATCCATTTTTGCCTTTATTGTTGAGTATATGCTAGTAAGTCCATTCTAACAGCCCATTTCATAATATGTAAGGTTTACATGATTGCATTATCACCTGTAGCCAAGTTCTACATCTTCTTCTTCTTTTTTTGGAAACTCCAAATAAGTTTTACAGGTGCATTTATTAATAATCCATAGATAGCAGGATGAACTCACTAAATAGATTAATTGAAGACAAACTTCAACATGCTTTGTAATTCATAAATCTGATCTTAGAACAGTTGGAAAAGGGTTTTACAACTCCCACTAATTGGCATGGAAGTTTGGAAGGACTGAATGAAAAATTCACTTCGAATTCTAGTTTAAAAAAGCATTGTTTGGACAAGCATAAAGAAAAAGGCCTAAATATTTTTTGAACAGGATTAAGCTTGTACCTGATCCTGCAAACTAAACCAGCAACAGTTCACATGTTCATAGTGACCACGAAATGTCAGGGATGTTTTACCCGACCACATATTGAATGCCTGGAAAAATCCGGAAGTCAAACTTTGAAGAAGGAAGAAATCGGTGTATTTTAATTTAAAAGATTCAAACCTACAAAACGAATGCATTACCTTCACAGCTGTCATGCATGGTACAAAAACAAGAGCCAAATTCTGACTTGTGGCTAACTGTATGGGCTTGCTGGTTTGCAGACGCACAGTTTCAAAGTTCACCAAAGTATTGCAGCCAGATTCTACATCCCACAACCTTAATCTTGAATCAGAACCTGAAATGCAAAAGCTTGATCAATGACATAGGCATTTTTATACTGATTTTTCTGTTGTAATTTACACCGTATCGATCGATTAAAAAAACATCTAAACAGGAGAAAAGGAAGAACCTAATCACACTACACTGATTTATGCACGACAGGAATGATTCAAACATTTAAAAGAAAACAAAGGTGAGAACCTCAAGGCATACATTTAAAATGCGATAATTCCGTGAAAATTTCATCACCTCACCAGATTCAAGTACATTTGTTAATTTGTAATAATTTTTAAGGTTGCAACTGTAGCTTGGCAGTCACCTGCAATATTATTGTAGTATTTACATTATATTTAAAACAGTAAAGAATGAACCTAAACCACTATAATTATTCTAAAATTAATTCCATTAAATTGATTGGAATATAGGTAGCCGAATTCAGTGGATTCAATCTTAAGTACAACAAAATTCCAAAACTAAAACAACTCAACCTGCACTTAAGAGATACATGCCGTCTTCAGTAACTTTTAGCCCAGTAACAGCACCATAATGAGCAGTTGCACGATCCTGACTAGACAACATCCCTGGATGTAATCTTTGCTTCAGAGATCCCTTTACTGGAATTTTACCGACAGGTGATTGCTTTGCATTCATGAGTTTCGTTTGTGGTGTCCGTGCTTTTGCAAATGAACTTTGACTTGCTGACAAGGACTTGGCTGTTGAACCCTAAGTGGGACAAAGAAACAAATATTATCAGTAGATGGGTAACTGTCGACATAATAACTTTCTAAAGTTAAATTTGCACTCTCTCACTAACTACAAGCTTCAATTACAAACATCGATAATAATGTAATGACATTAAAAAAGGAAAAACACAAAGGAATTCAGGACTTATGCAAGAAAAGAATCACACAAATATACACGCTGTAGTTGATAGTGTAGATCTCATCATATTTTTAGTTGATCCATGAGAACACCAACACATTTAGCTGTGTTCATATTGAATAAAACGGAGAAAAATAATGTAAATGGAATATAAAAAAAGTACATAAAAACTGCATACAACGCCAAATGGTACATGCTCCATTAAGCCATCAAGGTAACAAAGAGGAAATAGAATTCCCCAAAGACATGTAGAATCATTTCAGATAGTTAGTGGTATATGCTAAGTATAACTGTAAAAGAAACACTATAAACCTAAAAGTTAACAAAGTAAGTGAGTGATATATTGAAAACATATGCTTTGGTGCGGCAAAGAAAAGAAGAAAACCTTAATCATGGCAGAGCGTTTCAAGATGGGTGGACGTCTCCCAAGCTGAGACTGGGACTGATCTAAAACATGAAAACATCCAGCACGTCTAATGTCCCAAAAACGTATTGCACCGTCACATCCACCTGTAATCAAAACCCACTCACTAGAAGTAGACCATTCCACCGTCATTACTCCATCTGCCATCATGAAAAGAAATATACACTTATGACCCTCTAAATGCACGAAACTTTTCTTCTAGGGTATAAGTTAAACCAAATTAAGGAAAGTAAAAACAATTATACCTTTGTACATACAAAGTAGAGAACCCAAAAGAAGAATGTCAATTTAACAAGAGTTGAAACCTAGCTTTAAGAAAATATGGCTCAAGAAATGTAATTTATGCTGAGCTCCTAGAACTGCATTCTACGAACTCACCAACATGATGTATTCTAGATTGCTTGCTGTCCCTTCCACATGTCAGACCAGCCTACTATACAGGGCAGCACTATAAGCAGGGTATATATATATATTTTGGAAAACCAAGTACTCAAAATCATCAAAAGAAGCGTGTTGTGATCGTCCAGCCAAACTATAGAAAACCCTTCCATACATTTTGCCAAGTTCTCAGACCATTTTGCAAATGCTTATGTGTTGATACAAGTAAGATATGAAGTTGGAATTTTGAAAACACCGATTCAGCAGAAGAAAAGGAAAGAAAAACTAAAAACAAAAAGAAGATGAACTGTGTGTATTAAGCACATACCACGGTGACCAGACAAGGTGTGAGCAAAAGCTCCAGAGGCAATATCACAGAGACGAACTTGAACATCTTCAGTCCCAGCAGCAATGAGCATGTGCGAAGTTGCCAAGGGGGACATGGCAGTCCTATAAACCTTTCCAGGCATTTTAAAGTCCATCACCACCTGCGTCGTATTTGTATCCCAAACATTAATGTGATGGTCATACGAACCCGTCACAAATAGTCCCGTGTCCACCGGATACCATATGGCCGAGGACACCGCATACTTGTGCCCCTGCTCGTGCTGCTTATCCACCATGAACAAGCACTTGTGCTTTCTGATAACGCCGCCTCCTTCATAATCAGTCCCGCGCTGAATATCAAACACCGCCGCTGAAGCATCCGAAGCACCGGATAACAAGTACCGGCCCTCAGTCAAATCAACCTGAGCAACAAGACGCTTCATTTTCATTGCTATGTCGATTTATGCAAGCAAAATGAGAGCGATGGTAGAAGAAAGGGAGTGTTTGGGTACCTGGAGAGAGTTGACGGATCCTCGGTGAGGGGAGACGATGTCTTTGCCGTTGGACAGTTGGAGCGTTTGGATACGATTTGACTTAATCCGATTCGAGAACGAATTTGGGCGAAGCTTGCCCGCTTCTCTGTCTCCGATTTCCCGCCACATTTTCGGAGCATCTTCTTCAACCCAAAGCAAAGCTAAACTTGCACACTTCTCACTCCCAAAATTCCCAGACAGAAACTAGACAGTTTTTTCTCTCTCTCAATCTTTGCCTGATTTTCTTCCTGATCGGCTTGGACGGACTCGGATAGATTACTGAGCGGGTTCGGGTTCGGGTTGCGTCAAAATAATATCCACAATCTACAAGACTACAACTCAAGTTGATGGACATTGGACATGGATTTCTCTGTGAGATCTGCTCTCGTTAATTCATCAAGAATTCCATAGTGAGGGCCTAGGCCTTAAATGAAGGGCACTATTTTTTTAATCATTAGATTAAATTGATTAGCCATTCAATCAATTTAATTAGTCTGATTCAACGATTAAGAGATAAGACAGATACATATACTAAACCCTCACTATAGAATGACTCAATTATTAATAGAAGGGTATAAGAAAAAGCAGACTTGTAATAAAAAGGTCTCTCTGATAATGGGTTGGACCGTCGGAGACTCAGAGGCCCCATAAAAGTCATTGCCCAATATGACGTTATTTTGGACAAGAGGCCTAACATGACTTGACCCAGTACAGAAGAAACCTCTTTATCAAGACGGAAATTTCAAAAGTAACCCCCTTTCCACCTGCTTTAGATTGATGACCAAAAACAAAATTCTTGGCTGCATCTATATATATAAAGCAAAAGGTAGAAAATGGTAAAACATTCAAAATGCCAAAAAATGCTACATGGATTTCTCTGTGAGATCTGCCCTCGTTAATTCATCAAGAATTCCATAGTGAGGGCCTAGGCCTTAAATGAAGGGCACTATTTTTTTAATCATTAGATTAAATTGATTAGCCATTCAATCAATTTAATTAGTCTGATTCAACGATTAAGAGATAAGACCTCAACTGAGAGACATATACTAAACCCTCACTATAGAATGACTCAATTATTCATAGAAGGGTATAAGAAAAAGCAGACTTGTAATAAAAAGGTCTCTCTGATAATGGGTTGGACCGTCGGAGACTCAGAGGCCCCATAAAAGTCATTGCCCAATATGATGTTATTTTGGACAAGAGGCCTAACATGACTTGACCCAGTACAGAAGAAACATCTTTATCAAGACGGAAATTCCAAAAGTAACCCCCTTTCCACCTGCTTTAGATTGATGACCAAAAACAAAATTCTTAGCTGCATCTATATATATAAAGCAAAAGGTAGAAAATG